TCCTTTAGTTCTGTTAGTATTTGTTTCACATATGCTGGTGCTCCTGTGTTGGGTGCATATATATTTAGAATGGTTATATCCTCTTGTTGGACTGAGCCCTTTATCATTATGTAATGTCCTTCTTTATCTCTTGTTACTTTCTTTGTTTTGAAGTCCATTTTGTCTGATACTAGTACTGCAGCACCTGCTTTTTTCTCCCTGTTGTTTGCATGAAATATCTTTTTCCATCCCTTGACTTTTAGTCTTTGCATGTCTTTGGGTTTGTGGTGGGTCTCTTGTAAGCAGCATATAGATGGGTCTTGCTTTTTTATCCATTCTATTATTCTATGTCTTTTGATTGGTACATTCAGTCCTTTTACATTTAGGATGATTATTGATAGGTATATACTTATTGCCATTGCAGGCTTTAGATTTGTGGTTACCAAAGGTTCAAGGTTAATTTCCTTACTATCTAAGAGTCTAACTTAACTCACTTAGTATGCTGTTACAAACACAATCTAAGGGTTCTTTTCTTTTTCTCCTCCTTCTTCTTCCTCTTCTATTCTTTATATATTAGGTATCATATTCTGTATTTTCTGTCTATCCCTTGATTGACTTTGGGGATAGTTAATTTAATTTTGCATTTGCTTAGTAGTTAGCTGTTCTACTTTCTTTACTGTGGTTTTATTACCTCTGGTGACAGCTATTCCACCCCAAGTCATTTTATACAGTCTTTAGAAAATACTTTGTCTCTACTCTCAAAAATTTAATAAATAAAGCTTTTCTTTGTTCCTCTTTGTGTGAAATACTGGTGTTTGAAAGTAATCAAGTACATAAATATTATTTAAAATATCCTTAGTTATTTTGAAGGCTTTTATTTAAGAGACCTGACTCTGCATTGCATTACTAACTCAAAGACATATGTGAGACGAAGGCCTTCCAGGGCATGCTGAACATCTTGTCTATGAAAAACATACCACGCCAGAGTGGAGAGGGTAAAAGCACAAGAAGCCCGTGCAGTTCAGACGGGAGGAAGATGAGAATGTCTGAACCGTTCCTTCCCCGATGGCTCCAAACCAAAAAGAATGGTGTGGCCAGCAAGTCACACATGCTCTGAATTTCCAATTGTGTTAGAAGTAATACAAAATAAAGGATTCATCCAGCTCCTTCACCTAATAGGCCAGCAAAAGGAGGCCTAGAGGTGGCAAGTGCTGTGTAGGCACATGAGACTATTGCTACCTTGTTCAAGAAGAACTGGTGGGGAGCACAGAGTTGCACAGACAGAGGGTACTAAGCGACAGGACTGTGGAACCTTCACTTTGGCTCCTGCTGGTCTCTTTCAAGATGGTACAAGGAATGACCGCTTATGCTGGGGAAGCATCAGGACGTAGAGAAGGGTAGGGCTTAGAAGCTAGACTTCACGCCAATCTCATCTCTACCTTTCAGGAGCTATGCAACCTTAGATAAATCACCCAGTTCCTGTAAGTCTTGTTGCCTTTGTCTGTTAAAGTGGAAAACAGTACCATACTCAGCAACATTATTTAGAACATTATTCTAAATTATGCCTTCAGCAAGAGGTTGTAACATGTAAAGTGCTTGCCAACTAGATGTCTGATACCCAGCAAATGTTCAAAAGTGGCAGCAATGACAGGACCCCACAGGACCCCCTGGTTGAGGCCCTGTACTGCTGTAAATCTGGGAGGACTTCATTCCTCATTTCCTGATCTTTTTTTTTTCATTCAATTTTCATTCCGAAAAACCTGTTCTGCTCTAGACCAGGGACTGTAAAACTTGTACTATAAGAGGAAAGATAGTAAATATGTCAGTCTTTGTGGGCCATATGATCCCTGCTGCAACTATTCAACTGGCATTACAGTGTGAAAGCAGTCAGAAACAACACTTTAATGGCCATGGCTCTAGTCCAACAGCACTGTATTTACTAGCACAGGCGGTTGAGCCCACCGACCATAGTTCGCCATTCTCCACTCCGACACCTCCAGCATCAGCATCACATGGGAGCTCGCTAGAAATACAGAACCTCAGGCCTCACCCCAGAACTACTGAGTTAGAATCTGCAGTTTAACAAGATTCCCCAAGTGATTCACATGTACACTGAAATGTCAGAAGCACTGTCCTACAACTCAGCACTGAAACCTGGAGTTAACTTAGTATTTAAATAATTAACTCTGAAAGATTTCTTTTTAAAACATCTTACTCTTCCCTAAGAGTAAACTACAAATAAACTGTTATTTAAAGTCATACTTACTTCATAGTTTTTATAGTAGGTTGCATTTTCTGAATCCTTCAGCATTTTCTGTAGTTTTCTCTCTTGTAGAGTTAACCAGTCCATAGCATCTTTCACCTTTCCCTGTAATTCACACACACTCATATTTAAGAATTCCTATCTGTTAACCTCATATTTAAAACTATCCTAAATAGACGTGGCAATTTTTTTTAACAATAAAATTAACAACTTCAAACACCAGTGAAGTAATGCAGTCATTACACACCAATAATTCACTGTGCCGAAGAGGAATTTTGCTTGTTCACATAACACCTTAGATTTTAAAATGGACTGAGTATAATGTGCTAAAGACATAGGGGAAGCCAGCCCTGGGTTTTTTTTGTTTTCTTCCATTTCCATTATTCCTCAATCTTAGAGAACATTATTCTAAATTATGCATTTATAGTTGACATTTCAGAATACTGCTTTCCAATAAATCTAAATATGGATTAATTCAAGAGATGTTATCTCCTCCAAATACGCTGACATCAAAAATACCTTGAACATTTTAAAGATCCCAAAAATAACACTGCTAAAAGCTTGGGTTATTCTATGTGGGAGTGTACAACAATTATTTTTTTTCTCAGATAGTTTTTTGCCTACAGTTAGAAGCAAGTTTTACTGCAGGAAGATAAATCAAGAGAAGTTACATCCTAGTTCCATTTTCCTTTAACCTTCATTTGCTTTTTTTTCTACTAAGCAAGAGTGTTTTCTATGTGTTTTTACATACAATTTCATGGACAGTTGAGTTTTTTATTTTATTTTTTAATACGAAAATTAATTAGACAGGACTAGCTCTTCAGCATATCAGAAATAACTGAGCTGAACTTTAAGCCTTAGTCTCCACTTGAGTCTCTCTTCCAGAGGCAGCTACAAGCTGGCTTGGTGCCTCAAACAGTGAAAAACATACGCCTAAATTTGTTAAGTAAGATGCGATAATATGAATGCACATAAACATGTCTCAGTAAGAGTTTAAATAACTTTTAAAATAATATTCAGAAAACCTTTTACTAAATTCATAGCCTTCATTCATCTGCATAGAAGCAGAATAAGCACTTATTTTCAGCTCAGTGATTTTTATGAAATTTCCACCCACAATATTTTGTGTAATTGACTCAAAGTCAAAGGAAAAAACTGAATAATCAAATGGCAATCTGATGGTAATTCAAGAGTGCCTCAATAGACAAGGACTAAGAGTAGAATATAATGCTTCCATTTTTTATGAATTGTGATTCCATTTATATAAAGCTAAAAAACAGGTAAAATGGGAACAGGCTAAAATTAGTCTGTGGTGATGGCTGCACAACTTTGTAAATATACTAAACACCACTGAATTGTAGATTTTGAATGGGTTAACTTTATGGTATCTGAATTGTACCTCAATAAAATTAAAGTTAAAATTATAATAGACAAAAATTTGGTAGCTCTAGAATTTTTAAGAGCCTGCTAAACTAAAAATTGTTTCAGACAACTCAGCAAAGTTCAATGAATTACCACTTTTTTTTAACTTAAAAAGAACAGGCAAAACTAAACTACAGTAAAGAAATTGGAATCCTGGTCATTTGGAGTAGGAAATACAGAAAGGAAAGGCACAATGGAACATTCTGGGTAACCTCATGACTGCAGCATGGTTTACACAGGTGTGTGCATCTGTCAAAACTCACAAAATTGTACATTTAAATTCTGTATGCAAATTATAGTTCAATTTAAGAAAACTAAACCGTTGGTAGGATACAACAAAAGAGGGCTTGTTTTTTACTTGTAATGGCATACCTGAGGTTTATCTCGAGTTTCAGATGTGTCTTTTGAATACTTTAGAAACTGTGCCACATAGGTCATGATCGACTTTTCATCAGGATTAACAACATCCACATCTGTAAGATATAAGTAGCTATAGATGTGATTTACTGTAATTAATACTCAGGAACAGGCTACCCCATAAGACAGTCTTGAAATGAACTAAAGGAGACGAGAAGCCATGCAATCTCTGGTTACTCGCCCTTGCTCCAAGACTGTACAATGGCCAAGAGCTTAGATCTAGAGTTAAACAAAGCCGGGTTGAATCCATGCAGCAGTACATGCACAGCCTCCATTTCTACTGCGCACGTTGTTAAATTGCAAACAGCACAAAAAATTGAGGAACTATCTTCCAGTATTCGATTCAGCAAAAAAGTTATTCACATCACTGGAGAATATGTGAAGTTCTACCCTAAGTCTGCTGTTTCATCAACAGTCTGCTTACTCATCTACGTAAAGGAAATTATCTGCCAACATTCATGTCAGAGCTGCATTTATTCAGCAACTGCAGCCACAAGTTGGCTGCAGATGGATACAAGTGCTTGACAAAAATCAACAAAAGCATTTTTGGGCTATATGGAATTTATAATAAAGTGTGTCACATAGTTTATTATATATGAACTGCATGCTACACACCCTTTATAATAGAAGTATTTGTAACAGATGTGTATATGTACACACACACACACACACACACACACACACACACACACACACACACAGTTTCAGAGTGCCAGCCAGTAAACATTTACCTACACACTCAAGACTAGAAATTGTATCTCTCAATTAATTTGTCTCAATTAGAAATTGTATCTATAAATTAATGATCATTTTCACTAATCCTACATGCTTCTCTGATAACCTTACTGGGTGTTTTTTTTTTAATTATGAAACAATACAACCCAACGTCAAGTGCTTTACCAAAAGAATTAAATTACTTCAATCTTAATTTTATAAAATTAAAATAAAGTATAATTTAGTAATTATGTCTTTGAATATAACCAAAATTTAGGATTTTGCCATTATTGTTGTTAACAATACCACACAGTTGACTGAGTACAATCAATGACAAAGCTGCCCCATCCACACAGGAAAAAAGCCAGGAAAGCAGTTTCTGTCCTCATACAGGTTCAGCTTTACCTAGGAGGAGGGGGTGGGAAAGGAGGTATATAAACAACTCAAAAAACAGCTTCCTGGAGAGATTTTAGAACTGAATAGAATCAAGGGAATACAATATAGAACACAATAGAAGAGAATTAAGACAAAGGCTCAAATTATTTCTAATAACAACATTGTTTGCTTTCAGCTGTGATGTCATACCTACAATCACTGAAGTTAACAGGTAGGAATTCTTAATTTCATGAAATTATTGAGTTTAAGTTAAACTCCCCAGCCTAAAATATAATGCTGTTATATATGGATATTATTTTCAAACCAACTTCACACTGGACATTATTTTGAAAAGCAAGAAGCTTCTTTACCTTCTGGTTCCAGCAATTTAGGGATTTTTAGTTCTTCTTCTGCAATTCTGAAAGCCTCTTTCAGATTCTCTTTGTTGGATCTATGCTTTACACTCTTCATGTCAATTAGGCCTGGTCTCAAGGCATGAATGACAGCCAGAAAAGCCATCCCATTTCTCCAGCTTGACTTAAAATCTGTCACACTAACAGACCCATACCTATCACAAAAGGACAAAAATGTGATAAATACTACTTAACAGAATATATCGAACACCTCCACTATATTCAACAGCAATTAAAACAAATTTTGGTTAATCAAGTAAGTCACATGAATCATTCTAGGAAAACATTTTACTTTAATTTTCTAGTCAAAGTAAACTGCCAAGTTTAATGAGGTTCATGATACCACAGTATGCGGTTCTCCAAGTGTGGTTCCTGGTCCATCAGTACCAGCATCACCTGGGCTGCAAGTGCTAAAAATGCAAATTCTCAGGCCCTACCCCACACCTACTGAATCATATTCTGGAGGTGGGCCTGAAATCTGTGTTTTTAAAAGCCTTCCAAGTGACAGTGATACTCAGTCAAGTGTAATGCTCTTTATTCAACAATCTGTTGGCTCAAGGCAGACTTAAGACCTCTACCTACAGTTAAGTTCCTTTCACAATATAAAGGAAACAATTTTCTTTCTCACTGCAACAAATTACATGATATATTTGCCCAAATCCATGGCCTTTAGCTCACTGGACAGATAGACCTTTTCACTCCTCTGCGTAAAACTGATCATCACCAATAAATGGGTAAGCAAAATGTGCATACCTGCAATGGAGTATTATTCAGCCATAAAAAGGAAGAACAATCTGCCACTTGGTATAACATGAATGAACCTTGAAGATATTATGCTGAGTCAAATAAGACAGTCACAAAAGGACAAATGCTATATGATTCCACTCATTTAAGGACTCCAGACTAATGAAATTCATAAAAAAGTAGAATGGTCAAGGGGCGGAGCCAAGATGGCGCCGTGAGTAGAGCAGACCAACTCTCCTCCCAAAACCACATAGAATTATGAAAATATAACAAAGACAATTTCCTAAAATAGAGACCAGAGGACACAGGACAACATCCAGACCACATGCACACCTGCGAGAACCCAGCGCCTTGCGAAG